AAAAATGGAGGGCGACTGGGTGGTTGATTGGTTGAATTGTGGTTTATACACAGCACAGGGAACGTTTCCTGGCAGTTGACACTTCCTGGAATAATTATCTGTAGTCCAAAGAATATTCCACAGTTAACCAAAGTGCTTCTGTCCAAAGCTGTTGTCAGACAGAAGGTATTTCTTGTGCCATTGTTGGAAGCTGCTGGATTTTGATAAACCCCCAAGCCTTTAGGAATGGCTTGGACCTGAATTTTGGGCAGGATTGATAGTGTTTTATGCAAACTCAATGTAAATTTCCAGTTTTTCTTCATTTTTCTTCTCAAAAGAGTTTGTTATGATGTTCAGCTGATACAGGGATGGGGTGTGGCTGCTTGGAATGTTTACAGTCAATTCATTCTGTGTTGGCCCTTGGTGTGTGTTTCCATTTCACTATAAATGTTGTTTTGCTGCTTCCTGGTTTGTGTTTGACCCATTAAATACAAAGAAGTTGATTCTAGGAGCTTTGTAGTGAGCTGTAGTCTCCATTTGTTCCATTAATATCTGTGGATTAAAGTTGTTTCTAAAGGAATATCTGGGATTAGAGGAAGAGTAAAGTGTAGCTGCTCCTGCCCAAAAATTGGAGCAAGTTTTTCCATCTTATCTCCACTGCTCCATTTTTTAGATGATGATTTCTGTTGGAGTTGTGTGTCAGGCTGCCAGGGTGGTGGCAGGCAAATGGTTTCACTTCCTGAAAAATGGACTGAGGGTGGTTTTGTCCGTGCAAAAATCAGAGACAGAGGAATTTTGGAATACTCAGTGGTTTGTTGTTTGAGCCTGCTGCTTGGGAAGAGCAAGAAGCAACATGGGATGAGGACTTCAGGCAATAAAATTGGTGTGGTTGGTCATGGAAGTGAAGAAAACAAGAATTCTGATTCAACTGAAGGAAATGTGTGTTGCTCTTCTGTTTTCTAGCTTGTTACAGATAAATAAATCTTCCTCTTCTTAAATAAATCTTCCTCTTCTTAAATAAATCTTCCTCTTCTTAAATAAATCTTCCTCTTCCTGTCATCTCTGCTGTCATCTCCTGCTTGATGCCATTTGTGTTGCTGGCCTGGAAGCTTTCAATAGTGCCATGAAGACTGCTAATTGCCTAAAGGAATAACGACCTTTTTTGGCCAAGAACAGGGTCGTTGAGTTGACTCTTTTCTCTGTAAATGACATAGATTTTTTTTTTTTTAACTCTTAAAAAAAGGCAACGACCAGAATTTGATCATAGAATGGTTTGGGTTGGAAGGACCTGGCCAACTCCAACCTAACCCAGTGCCCCAGCAGAGCCAGGTCCCCACTGCCCCGTGTCCCTCACCCGACATCTCCACAGCTTGGAAACCCCTCCAGGGGTGGGGACTCCACCACTGCCCTGGGCAGCCTGGCACAGCCCTGGGCAACCCTCCAGGGCAAGAAATTGTTCCTCAGGGACAACTGAAACCTCCCCTGGGGCAGCTTGAGGCTGTTTCCTCTTGTCCTCTCCTGTGGTGGTTCCTATGGTGACATTAGATAATATTTCTACCAGTCCACCCTCTATTTTTTCCTTCACATGAGGTTATTTTCCACAAGTTCTGCTCAAGGATCTGCCTTAGAGTCAGGCCTTGGGCCATGCTGAAATATCTGAACAAGATAAGTGTCTCTAAGTGTTAATATATGGGAATTGGGGAGGGTTTTATTTGTGGGGTGGGGAAGTGAAGCAGAATGAAGAGTAGAAAGAAGACTACAGTAATTAGGGGAAAAATCCCCCAGTTAGAACAGAATTTACAAAATTCTTATTGTTTTTTAGGAAAAAAAATTAAACTAAATTAACCTGATACTTTTAAAGGGAGAATACTGATGGCAAGATTTTTTTTTAAGGGATTCTTAAAACAAAATATTCAAAGAAACAGTGTCCTGGAGAGTGAATTAAGTAGCTGCTAGCCCTCCTCTTCATCACTTGATAATGTATCTCCCAGCAGGAGAGAGTTGGGCTTGGGCAACCTGGAGAAGGCTCCAGGGAGACCTTCTGGTGGTCTTTCAGTGCTTTAAGGCACCTGTCAGAAAGCTGGGGACAGATTTTTGAGCAGGGCCTCTTGGGACAGGACAAGGGGGGATGGTTTGGAACTCAAAGAGGGAGATTTAGACTGAAGAGAAGGAAGAAATTGTTGGTGCTGAGGGTGCTGAGCCCCTGGCCCAGGCTGCCCAGAGAGGTGGTCGCTGCCCCATCCCTGGAACCATCCCAGGGGAGGTTGGCCGGGGCTCTGAGCACCCTGCTCTAGCTGGGGATGTCCCTGCTCAGGGCAGGGGGTTGGATTGGATGACTTTTAAGGTCCCTTCCCACCCAAACCATTCTATGTTCCTATGATCTTTTTTTTTATAGATGTTTGAGTCAATGTGTGTGAATACAACTTCCCAATATCTCATCTGAACGTTTCCTTTCCTTCTTTCTTGTCTATCTTGGAGCTTTTTTAAAATTCTATAATCCTGTAAGTCCTTAGATTTGTTTCAAGTTGAGGAATGGTATTTTCCAGAAAACTTCAGTTCTGGAGTTCCTTGCTCTTTTTGCGTAGAGCGTGAAGATGAAAAGCTGCAGTTGTCTTCTGCAGTCATGAAAAGCAGAATGATCTGGTGTTCAAACTGGATTTTTTTTAAAGGAGGTTTCTTCATCAGTCAACATAAAAGGTCCTGCTGGTAGCACAGTGTCAGAAGCATTTTTTAAGTCCATTTTTTTTTAAGTGAACAGTGACTCGAGGTAGATACCAGGAGGTGAGCACTGGAAAGTGGCGTTGCTGCTGAAGAAAGTGATCATGGAAATGCATCCTCTGTCCCATCTTCCTTTCTTTGTCTGCTTTCCTTGCTTCAGCTCTCTCTGATCTGCTCCCCCTCCTCTTGCCCAACAGTTAGAGGTCTCCCCTTGCTTTGACAGGTGGAGGAACGTGCCTCCTTGGAGGTTTCTTCTGCCCATTGATGCCTATTTGCAGTGCTAGTTAGCTTGAGTTAAGGTAAGTGCCTGTTTGCTCTGTAAAAGCTGGAATGGCTCAGCAGTTCCATGTCTGGGGGACTTGATGAGAATTTCCTTCTGGGTTTGCCTTCAGAATGTTAATTATTCTATGAAGAAGAAAAGTAGAGACTGTAGAGCATGATTCAAAGCATATAACAGATGCAAAAAGCTGTCCAGGAGCTCAGTCCTGATCTTCCTTATTCTGCATTATCAGTAGCACTAGGAGGTTTAAAAAGGCTCCAAAATTGAGTTTTTCTCTGCTTTAATGAACTTTAGGCATACAAATATTTCTACTTGCTCTTTGCTTAAGCAAAAATAATTCTGTAAGATCATTACCCTTAGGTGCTGATTCTTCTTCACTGTCATTTCTGATTCCAAAACATCCAGCTTCATTTTACTACTAAAACCTCTGATGGCAGCTTCTGCTAGGAACCATGTGGTATATTGCCCATGTTTTAAACAAAATTATTACAGATTTTCCTGCCCTGTTAAGTAAACATCTACTTTTTCACACAGCATGCCTAGAAATGAGGCTTTGTACCAAAATATGGGACATGGGCCTGAATTCTAAGGTTACAATGAGGAAAGCTCTGCTTGTCTAAAACCTTTATGAATTTAGACAGGCAATAGCATGGGTTTTTATGTTGACCACCAAGGGGAACGTGACTCCTCAGACTGTAGCAGCAACTGTCCAACTCTGGGAGTGAAGAGCATCCTTGTGACTTCTTACTTGATGGGAAAAGTCTTGACTGACTTCTTGAGCTGATGCAACGGTGGGACGCAGGAATAATCTCTCCTAGTCGCTCTATTCCAAGCTGAGTTGGAAGCCTGAACTCTGTAACACTTCACTGCCAGAAAAAAACAAAAAGCCAGTATTTTAAAACCACTTGGCAGTGAACAGAACACAATCCTGACATCATCTGGACTGGGAAATAATCTCTTGTTCATGTTCTCAATGCGTTCAGCTGTAGAAAGTCAATGGGACAGAGCTAGAATGCTCTGGGTGACTGAAAGTAGAGTGGGCAGCTTTGCCTTTTAAGCATTCTGGATCTGATGTCAAGACCATGAAACCTACTTCCAGTTCATTTGGTCTCTTCTTTACTAGTGAGGGAAACTGGTCGTACAGGACTCAACACGCCATGGTGCTCCTGCAGTGGTTTGGGCATTACATGGTCCTTCTGACAGTCCAGGAGTTCTTTGGGGATTTTGCATATGGGCAAACTCACTTGAAGTGGGAAAGATTCTCTGTCTTGCAATGGACTCAAAAAATCTTGGCCTTTGAAGCAGCCACAACTAACTTCTGGTTTGACAAGGTTCTGTCTGTTTGCTGTTTTGAGTTCCTATCTTCACCTGCAGAAAGTCTGTATTTACTCTTCAGATTTCACTGGTGCTGTCTTTTTCTCCTCATTTTTGAAGCCTTTTCCTTCCCAGACTTCTTTTTTTCATAAATACAAGCACCTTGATAACGTTTGAGGTGGGTTTTCTTCATCTTTTTGAAGATGGCCCCCTCTGTAGTCTGTCTGCCTAAAACTTTCCTGAAATCCATCCTTCATAGCACTAAGCAGGGATACTGATAGTAACAGTGAGATGAGAAATCAAAAAAAGTACAGCTTCTCTGAAATCTGGAGAGAGTTTTTCTGTTTCTGAATGAAAGGCCCTGTAGGTAGAAGAGGAGGATTATCTAAGGGGTTTCCTTGGGTCTTTTATTTTCATCCGACAAGGATGCCATTTCTTGCTGCCCTGAGATGGAAAAGCTGGACATGGTTTTCAGATAGTATTCTGAAGTGCTAACCCGAAACGTACGCCAAGTAGATGAGTGTGATTTTTGTCAGTGAGGCTCCTGGAGGTTAGATCTGGCGTTTTTCAGTAGCTGATGTGCTTCTGAAGCATGGCAGCACTGGGTTTACAGTTCACTGATGCACATGGATGGAAATATCTATGCCGTGTTCACTTAACGCTCTCTTTCATTTTTCTTTTTCTTTCCCCTTTTCTTTATTTTGTTAAGCGTTGCAGGCTGTATGTACCGAGTAGTTCAGACGCCGGGACCAGATGGAAAAAACCTTCTGAAATTACTTCCAATTTCTAAATCTCCCGGAAGCTTTCTGCCAATAGCTCAGTCTTCAGCCATGCCAAATAATTCTAAAGCGAACGTTTCTAGTCCAGTCCATCTTACTTTTAAGACACAGCTTGGCAATACGGCTGCACCTTCATCTGTTAAAATACCCGTTTTTCAGTCTCCTAGTTCTCGAAATATAATTCTTACAAGGACATTAGACAAAGAGGAAAGTGGTAGGGCAGGTTGTGAAAAAGAAAGCTTAATTCCCAAGTCAACGGGTAGTGGTTGTGTTCCCGTTGACAGACTCTCTTTGCAGAACATTGCTGTAATGAGCTCATCCAACCCCAGTAACACCACATACATGTTGGTCAACCCCCAAACTGCCCCAGTTCCTGCCAAGTCTTCAGTGCTGCCATCTGGCCACCACCTTCAGATACCAGCTGATGCAGAGGTGAAATCTGTCCCAGCTTCTTCTTTACCACCTGCAATACAGCAGAAAATATTTGCAGCTGCAACAACAAACGTGCCTGGAGGAGCTGAGGGCGCAAAAATACCGACTGTTATTTACGTGTCTCCAGTGAACACGGTGAAAACGATGCTCCCAAAGCATCTGCAAGCTGCCTGTGCAAAAGGAGGGGCAGAAGTTGCACAAGCATTGATAATGACAGCTACCCAAACGGGAAACGGTGCTTCCCCTGAGGCAGCGGCATCTGATGGGAAGCAGTGCCAGCAAACTCCAATCAAATGGATTCTGCAAGGAAATCCGCAGTCGTCAGTGTCTTGCCTTACTCCTGTGAAGTCCTCGAATAACGTGGCTTCCCAGATCTTGAAAACTTTGGCAGACATGAAGAATGTAGAAGTTAACGCCTCCAATATTTTACCCCTCTGTTCTAGCGGTCCTGGTGGAAGCCAAACGAAGATCACAGCTATTAAAGATAACGCCCTGGTCATGTGCAACGGGAAGGTCTATTTGTTGACCAGAAGAGGCTCTGACATCCTATCAGCCCCAGCTGACAAACAAGCATCTTCCTCTTCTGATGTTTCGCTTAAAAAGGAGACAGCCAAGCTAATTGGTTCTACTGCAGTCAATAAAATAACCAATAAAGTAGTGAATCTGGTCTTGTCAAAAAACAAAGGAGTGGTGGTGTCTCAGGGGGACCCAAATCCAAGTACAGACTCAACAGATTCTTCACTGGATGACTTGAGAAATGACTTAAAATCTGCACCTGCTGTTCTGGTGACACCAAGTGCTGACCAGCAGGATTCCACTGAAGACCAGAGGAAGAGTTTGCCCTTTGCCAAGGGCATTTCGAGTGGAGTGACCCCTGTGACAGCAGTGGGGACACAGGAAAAGGTGTGCCAAAATGGCAAAGAAAAGAGCTGTGCCCCCAAAGCAGCAGGTGCTGCTTTGCCTCAGTCTGAGCAAGAATGTGCTTTCAGTGAAGACTGTCAAAAGGTAACGCCAATAAACATGCCCATCTCAGTCTCTCCTAAATTATCTGGCCTTGGTTCTATTTGAATTAAATGGCTGTTAATAAGTTCATAAGTTTTTGTAATCAGATACCCTGCCCCTGGACATGCTGGTCTAAAATGTGGTTCTAGTCAATAAATATTTTTTTTCCAATAAGATTGCACTGTGCAAGTGAGAAAACACATGAAGAACAGAAAGGGGCAGGGAAAAGATGACTTCTTATTTTCTCACAAGACAAATGGTCAGTAACCCCTGAAACTCTAGGGAAGCTGTTCGTTGTTTGAGCTCTGGCAGCTGTCTGCTTTCTAACGTTGATGCCACGTCCTGACAGCACAGCCCTCGACTGTGTTGTAGGTGTGTAGGTAGAGAAGTTTGCAGCCACACAAAAGGGAAGCAAAGTGGAAGAGCATGTTTGTGGTCCAGAGGTGGACGCTGGTGTTGGACTAAGTCAGCTCCAGTCTCCCGACAGCCAAGGGCAGGAGTTGCGTTTCCTTCCTCTCATGCCACCATGGGGAGGGATCTGCTTCCTTTGACTCATGGTTTCATGTCAGGCAGAAGAATCTCTTGAGAATCTCTTTAATGGTTTTCCTCCTTCAGGCTGGACCTCAATGTTCTTTTAGGATCATAACATCAAAAATGTGTAAACCGTCTGTAGCTCCAAACCGTACGAACTCTACCCATGAAGGATTGTAGGTCAAGTTTTCAGTTGCTCAAGAGGCCAGAATGCATGTGCCTCCAGAAAAATTAAAAAAAAAAAAACCATTCTGAAGCTAATTGATACTTGTTTCTGTTGACCAGGTGGAAGAAAAATGCTAGCTAAGCATATTTGTGCAAATTTTAGATGTTTGGTCCTTCCAGCAGACTCTAGGGCATCTTTTTTGATTGTTCTCCACCAGAACGATCATGAAAATAGACTTGTTTTTTTTGGTCCAGTGCTGTGCAATGGCAAGTGTTAGCACTCTGATGTGCTTTAACCTTGGTGAAAAGTAGCACATCAAATGTTTGCTGCTTTTAATCCATAAATTGGCAAGCCCATGGACTGCCAGAAATACTGCTGTGAGACTGAAGATCAGAAATAGCTCAGGGTGCAGTGAGGTCGGGTACCAGAGGTGCCTGATAGTCAATAATACTTTGTTAGTGTTACCCACCCCAGTGGAGATCTGAAACGTGCTCAGCAGCCTGGAGGTGCCACTGTAAAGACACTGTCTGATCTCCCCTCGTCTTCCTTTGTTACTTTGAAGCTTTAGAACAGGGAATTCCCTTGTTGCTTCTTTTCCCTCTTTGGTTTACTAGTCGGACTGTGCATTTTCTGGATGTTCTACAATCTACTTGGGGGTTTTAAATTACTAATGAGTGTTAGACCTATGATAATATGTAGATTATTTCTCAAAATTGACTTACCAGTGGTAAATGTAACTCTTGGAGAATGGCAGACAACACAAATGTCCACCTGTCTTTCTAGTAGCTATTTTTTTGTGTGTAGCTTCTATATGTTTGGAGAGAGAGTGAGAGAGTGTGATTGATGGCTCTCTCACTGTTTATATATTTCAGATCCAGTGTGAAAAGATGAATTCACCAAGAAAGGGTATTCAAGTCAAACACCAGGAGAAGTCACATTGGAAACAATACTTGGAACTAAGGAAAAAATTTGGTCTCTTTAAGGAAGAGAGAGTGTACCTTAAGAGAATGCCATTAAAGACCTGTGAGAAACCAGAAGAAAGGGTTTGTTCCAGTAACGGCTTGAAAAGGAGAAATGACTCTTGCAGTTCATCCTCGTTAGATGTGGAAATAACGAACCAACAGGAGGAATGTGTTAAAGAGGAAAAGGTATCTTGAAATGTTTCAGTGCTAAAACATGTACTGAAGCACGTTGAGAGAGCAGCATGTGTATAGTCACTGGAGAGCTGCGCGAGCGTTGGGACCCCACCACCTCTGGATCCTTCAGGGCGAGTCAGGGGTTGGTACAGACCCTGTGAGAAGCGTTCCTAGGACGTGTTGGTGTGCCACAGCAGAGCTGGGTGATTTCACTGTGACTTGGGTGCCAGCTAAGAATGTTGAGCTCTTTTTCTGGAGGCAATTAGGAGAACAAATACTTTGAAAAAGACCGGACCCTCTAGTGGTGGCTGAAGAGTTAAAGGGATGGTCGTTATTGGAATAGAAACCATACCTCTGTGTCCTCGTTATAGAGCCAACAGAGAGCAATGGATTTAAGCAGAACAGTAGAAGAGTAATTTCTTCTGAGGCTCTACCCTTGAGTTTGAGATAGTCAAACGCTGTTATTTCAAGGCACTCGAGTCACTAGGTGTGGCTGACTTCCAGAGGTGCCCACTTGGTCACATGTGGGTTTATTAAAAGAAATTTACTTGTCCACTTTTCTATCCTTAGAGGTACAAATGTCTTTCTAAACGTAGACCTTTGCCTCTGGCTAGGAGCTTGCTTGGATGCTTCTGGAAAGGTTCCCTTGATGGAAGGACTTCCATTTTAATGCATTAAAGTGATTTTATCCATCCAAAGTAGTTCTGTTCAGCCACAGTGTTCTAAATTTTCTCTTGGATGCCTCTCCTCTACCCAGTCAAAGGCTTTTCCAGATTTTAATAATTGTGTGTTAAGAGCCCTGCTTTGAGAGATCTACTGGCTGCTCTCAGCCAATAATTAAATAACAAAAAAACTGGGAGGAAGCCATGTTGTATGGCCAGTAGTGCTGATGTTTGAGCTTTTGGAAGTGTAAGTATGAAGAATTCTTCTACGTTTTGAATTTTCCTGTCAAGTTAGATGGCAAGTTTTTGTCTTACAGTACAGTTAAAGAGCAGCAACAGGAATATGCATGGGAAAGGCAGAAGCATACTGTTGACTAAGGAAGGAATTCAGTGTTGAATTATTAACTGGGAATCTTTGCTAGAAAAATCCTGAACACAGAAGTGTGCTCAAATTGCTAAAAGAAACGTTTCCCGTTTAGTAATTCTAAGAGGCTTGCAGCAAATAACTTGTCATTTGTGCTTAGGGGAGTATGCTGTTATAATGTGGGATGATTCTCAATTTAACAGAAGTATGTTTTGTATGTTCCTTGACTGTACAGGTAATTGTGGATCGGGAAGAGGGTTTGACTAAGAAAAGAAAAATAAAATCTTCACCACTGTCAGACGGCGCAAAGAGAAGGAAAAATTCAGTCAAATCAACCCCAAATCCAAGTTCAGAAAGTACCAGCTCAAGCTGCAGTGTAATTAACAGGAGAGTTTCACCTCCACCAGTGTTACCACAGCAAAGTGTTTCCACAGACGTTGTTCTGCTGTCTGTAGGGAGGGACTCTGAGGAAGACCCCTGCTCTCAACCGAGCGACGTCCCAGACTCAAGCATTCCAATTTTAGTGTCTTGTGAAGGCGATTCACAAGATTCCATCTTTGAAGGTTCTTTCAGAGATGACGTTTTCCCTTTGACTCCCCCAGACTTGGATGAAACCATCCGGGATGAAAAAATAAAACGACTTAAACAGCTCTTAAGAGAACGAGAAGCGGCGCTGGAAGAGGTGCGCAGGAAGATGCAGCAGAGCTGAAACGCTTCTGCTGCTCATCTGGACCATATTCGTCTTCATTTTGGTGACTTCCAAGAAGAAATTCCTTCTTTCAACAAACGTGAATGTTTCTGGTAGATGAGATTTACAACATGGGTGTATTTGGAAGAGTGTAGGTTTGTTTAATACCAGGAATAAAAGACTTGGACTGTGGAACTTTTCTTTTGGAACGTATTTATCAAAGGATGCAGACAGGCATTTTTAGTAGTGCAGTCTATATTTTGAATTGAGGCATTTCTGTATTAGTCCTAGCAAATAAACTTTCCCTCTTTGGAATTCCATGGCCTGTCTCTGAGAAACAGAATGTAAATTACAAACCCCCATTGTAGATTATGTTTTCTTTTTTTGTTATCCTAACGTGCGTCACAACTTTTGTGAGTTCCTGAGAAGAGTTGTCATGGAAAGGTCAATGATCAGTGTTTAATACATTCTATTTATGTCATCTAGGAATCGGGCAGATATTTATAGGAAAGCTCTTACAGATGTGAAGCTGACAGCAGTAGAACCTCTGCTGACAGCTCTCTAGATCCATGTCTCTTACTGTTATTATTGTGAGCCTTTATAAGGCCTTTGCCAGCTGTGCAATGTTGAAGTTTGGCTGTGGGGTTATTTTTTTGGGTGTGTGTGTTTTTGTTTTTTAAGCAGAACTATGTTGAATAATAACTTGCTGAAGCAAAAAGGCATATTTCTTTATCTAGAGCTGTGATCGTTAATGATTCTTGATGAGTATCTTCTCCGTTGATTTCTTTGGTCATTATTTGAGATGTCTCTTGCTGCCTTCGTTCAACGCTACCTTAGTTTTGCATTGTAGGAGGGAATGTGTACTCAGCCTTTGCTGTCATGATTTTTATAGATCTTTGCAGGGTCTTCTCCCAGCATGTTCTATCATGTGTATGGACGCCTTTCACTGCCCTCTGTTGTCCATGTCAGTGAATCTTGTAAGGCCCTCCTGCAGCCCTTCAGTCTTAATTATTACAGCCATGAATAACTGTTTTGCCAATGGAATTTCTCATTGTTTTGGTTTTTTTTCTTCTCCATTTATGGTTCTATTCAACATCACTAATCCCTGTAGAACGTCATTGCTGATTTCTCTTCATGGAAGGCTATTTGCTATTATTGTTTTCTGCTTCTAAGTCAGTTTTTCACCTGCAAGGTTCATTTCTGTTATCACATGCATGCCCAGTGTATGCATAGGGTTTTGGTGAAGACTGTTGCTTTGGAGATGTCTTTGAAGAGCCTTACTAGGACTGTATCAGCCCTATGTTCCACATTAATACGCATCTTGGCTGTGTGAAGACCTCAAGGTTTTAGAGAGGCCTTTTACACAGGAAGAAAAAGATGGTCCCTGCTCTGAAGACCGAGTATAGGAGAAGATGATACACAAAACTTGCAAAGGTGGGTGAAGAAGGAAGGTGTGTGATGGAACAGAGCTCTTTAATTGAGCAATTAATAGATAGATGGATAGAATGAGCAAGTAAAGGGGGTGTTATCGTGGGCATCCATGGGTTCAGCGTGGATGGAGCGAGTGTTTTGGGGCAGAAATCCCATAGTTTAGCATAGAGGAACACCTAATGAAGGGCTGATGCACAGCGGAGAGAGTGCCATGGATGAATTTGGCCTCACGAGCTCCGTTGTCGTGCAGCCCAAGTATCAGTGGTTGGAACATCTCGAGAGCTGAACGCTGCAGGAAAGGGCCGTGTTGGTTGGAGCAGTGACCTGCCTCCTGTAGTCTGACAGGCTATTTGAGTTGCTTATGAAGCAGATGTGCACAGACGTGTCCTTTATTGGTAAGTGTGCAAAGCAAAGAGGTTAATTTAGGGGAGATGGTTTTTTTTGAGCAGGTGGTGGTACCAGCAAGGAAGATGTGTCTACAGCCTTCTCCAGGTTCGCACCAGAAAGTGTGGGAGAAGTCAGTAGCCGTGTTGAGGAAGCAATTGTTCTGTGTGAAAAGTGGGAATGTTCCCCACACCTATGTGGGTGTGGTGGGTTGATCCTGGCCAACTACCAAGCACCTACCCAGCTGCTTGCTCGCTCCTCTCTCATGCAGGATGGGGAGGAAATAGATGGGCAAGACTTGTGGACTGCGATGAAGACAATTCAAGAGGTTAAGCAAAATCTGCTTGCAGGCAAAACAAAATAAAGAATTTGATCACCGTGTCAGATGTTCAACCGTTTCCACAGTGCCTGTGTCCAGCAGGCAGACACTGAACCACTTCCTGGGGCTCTGTGTAGTGTTTACTTGGGAAGACAGGTGCTGGAACCATAAACGTCCATGTGTTCTCCTTTCATTAAGCTTTCATTTGCTGAGCCTGACATCGTAGGATATGGAATATCCCTTTGGATAGGCCTCAGTTCAGGGCAACTGTCCTGGCTGTGGCCGTTCCCATCTTCTTGTCCATCCCCAGCCTACTTGC